ATATTTATTCACCCAAACCATATTTGGTATCAATGTTATACCTAACAATGGGCATAGATTTTATTGCAACAGAATGAAAATATTGGGAACCATGAATCTGGATAAGAATTTCAGTTGATGTTACAACACTAGCGGATGCACTACTAGGAAGAGATGCCACATAGAAAACACATTGAAAACACCTCCAATAATTTCTGGAGCTGTACAGGATAAGCACTACCCCAGTTTCTTCTTCAGTGGTATCAGGATCTCGTTTGGCTGATCACCTGTCTCAAATGGCCTCTGGTTTGTGACCTACCTGGATCCATCTATCTTTGCGATTTTCCTCTTCTGGACAGATAATCAAATTGCATCCAGCTTTTGTGGCAAGCTTCCTTATATGTTCCACGAAATCCTTATTGTCATCGACACTGGATATTCGGAGGAATCGGTGGAGATGTTGAAAGAAAAAAAATAGAGGAGAGATAAAGGCTCAGGTGTTCACCAAAGTTGATGGTGGGTGTACAGAAAGCTTCATACGTGTATGTTGGTCCATGACTCCTCACCTGCAGACGTAAACAGAAACTGGCTGCAAGGTGTTTGGGGTCATAATCCATGGAGCAACCCGGAAGACCAAAGAATCTGTGAAAAGGGAAGTTTCTGGGACCCCCTGAAGCAGGAAAGTACAGGAGACAAGGACCAAGAAATACGTTGAATTCCAGAAAGATGCATCTACACACTTCAAAGTTACAAGATTTAGGAATACAGAGCTAAGCTTGAAGTAAAAAAAAACAAAGAGAGGTAAACATTCTCTTTAGTCCAAGAAAGGAAGAGAGCAAGAAAGAAGCTTAAGATAATACCCCATTGATGCTCTATATTAAGGAAATTTAAATTTAAGATTTCAAGGTTCTGTTCATCGTACTTTCTACAGTAATAAAATGGAATTTCTGTAGTTTTGGGGGTCTATTTCCTGACCTGCCTTCCCGAATAGCTAATAAATGAAGAAGTAGTGAGGAAGGTCCTAGAGAGAGGGATCCTATGGTGAAGATTGAAAAAGCATTCCAGGTGCTTTCTCCGTTTCCCCGTCCTTCTCCCTCTTCCCTATGTCCTCTTTGATGCTCTCCATACCTTTCTGGCGGGCTCCAGGAGTGAAGTGTGAAAAGTGACAAGCCCTGAGAAGTTGATGTCTGGAAATTTCAGCCCTTCAACGTAGAAAACGGTCTGCACTTGACCAAGGTTCCGTTCCACATGGTAGGAGATCTTTCCGGATCCTAGAATGTGTTTGTAATATATCTGCTCCTTTCCTGTCAATCAAAACCCAATCTTGTTTTATTTGTTTCTTGGAAGCAAACATATATCTTTATCCAGATCTGGCAGTTTTAGGTAATCTGCATAATTAAATCCATTTGAGATCCAGAGAAACTTACAGTTGGCTATCATTGGCGAGAGCTGGTCAAACTTTTGATCTGTCATAACAAAATTATGGACCTCCTGTTTGGTGTAGCCCAAGGAAGAGAGGTATTGGCTTGATCCCCTCAAAAATGCTCCCTTGTTTTCTCTAGGTGAGGAGCATGAAACTATGGGCACCATAGTTACTGAAAATAATCTACAATAAGCTTTGGGTTTTAGCTTCATCCACCTTCGACCGCAGTCCAAAACCCCAGTGGCCTGCTGGCCTTCAACACTTACTTTGACTGTAGAAGACCCCCACTTTGTCATCATCAGCTTTTGAGATGTGGAGAGTCAGCTGGTAGTTTGCAAAAACTTCATCAGGTCCCTGAGTTGTCAGGATCATACGGGACATATCCTCAAGGTCTAAAAGGAGAACCAATTCAATTCCAATTGAGCCAGAAACTCTTGACTTCTGACCTCACGTTTTCATTAACCACCATCTGGCTTTAGTTCGGTTGATGAGCTCAGCTATTCAGGTGACCATGGGAGCAGGCCATGCCCATTTATGATAGCTTTGAGGTATTATATGGGCCGTCAAGCACCCATTCTGTGACCGGCGTAAATGCCACCGGTCATCAGCTGAGGTCTATCTTTACTTCAGCACCGTGTCCTTCCGTTACAACACTGCTTTTATAGATGTTTGTGGATGTTGAAATCCACACCTCTTAAAAGTTTCTGAGAAAAACTGCCCTTAACCATGGGTGCTGCTGCCTACCTTGAATGGAAGTCAGCTTGGTGTCCTTGTTGTCTTCCTCTTCAGCTGTGGGATTGTCTCGGTCACAGTTCACCAAGAGAATGGCGCCTTTTCCATC